AGGAAGGGGGTCTGCAGCGGGGCCCAGGCTGCAAGTTCTGGCCAGAGGCAGCGGCCGAGAGCCTTCCTAACAGGATGCCCGCAGGCGGGAAGGCCGGCGCGGGGTGGGGGATGGGGGTGAGGCGGGGAGACTGTCGGTCAGTGAGATTCCTGTGGGTGTTGCCAGGGCTTCTCCCAAGAGGGCCGGGGGGCTTGGCAGGTGGCTGGCTGGAGGGACACACAGGTAGGTAGGAGAGGAGGGGGAGGGCCTGGGCTCAAGCACAGGGCGTTGCGCAACATTGGGCAAAATTCGAGTTGATCGAAAGGGACGCTATCTGGGTGGGCCTGACCTAATCAGGGCGACCTCCTCCTGATGGCCTCAGGAGCAAACCGCCAGGCTGTGGAGGGCCCGCGTGGCGGGGTGCGGCGGGCGGCCTCTAGAAGCCGAGAACAGCGGCCCTGGGCCAGTGACCAGCGAGAACCTGAAACTGAGCTCTGCCAACAACCAGGGCCTGGAAGAGGTCCCGGCCTCAGACAAGATGGCAGAGTCCTCACTGATACTTTGGGTACAGCCTGGTGAGACCCTGAGCAGGGGGCCCAGTGGGATGCAGGGAGGGGGCAGGCATGGGCAGCCAGGGTGGCAGGAGGCGCTCAGACTCCGGAAGGATGGGGGAGGGGAGACAGGGAAGGGATGGTCAGGGAGGAGAGCCCGCCAGCCTCAACCTCAACCAGCCCCATCCTCAACCAAGCTCCCCTTTCCTCCATCTCAACCTTTCGTGCATCGTCACAGCTGGCCAGAGCCCTGCCCCCTTCCGTTTTTTTGGAGGCTTTCGGGATCCCAGTGCCCCCGTCAGGGATCGAACCCAGGCCCCTCGGCGTTGAAAGCACCAAGTCCTATCCACTGGACCGGCAAGGAAGTCCCCCTGCCCCCGTTTTGTCCTGAGGGACACTGAGAATCAGAAAGCCTGGATGGCCCAAAGCCCAGGCCCAGACCCAGCACGGGGTGCATACGGCCGCTGCCTGCTCGGGACCCCATGAGCGCTCACCATGGGGGGCTTCATCCTGTCCATGCTCCTTTCAGACTGTGAGGGCCTCCAGGGCCAGGGGAGACCCTACAAGGTTCCCCTTGTCATGGCACCCGCCGGGGGCCCAGGAGTCACCTCCCACCTCGTGTCCTCTGGGCAGCCCTCATTTCGAGCCCACAGGAGGCCAGGTGTTCCCCCCTCTCCTCTTGCAGGAGGTGGGGCCCTATTTTATAGGTGCTTGTCATGGGTGAGCCGCCGGGGGTCTACAGGGACAGCTAGAACTGGAGGCCACCACACAGGGCAGGAGCTCCACCGAAGGGCCCCAAGGTGGGCCTGGGGCGCCGGGTTCTTCCCTGGCACAGCGGGCTCTGGGGCTGGAAGCAGCTGCTCCCGGGCCCTCCCTGGCTCCACTGTTCTGGGTTCCAGGGGGAACAGCTCTCTTAAACTCAGCCCTTGTCCCTGGTCTCAGCGTCACGTCTAGTGTTTGTCATGTGTTCCTACATGTCAGGCACCATCAGTCTTCCTCGCAACCTTGGCTTAGATCCTCACTGGCCCATTCTACAGACAAGAAAACTGAGGCCCAGAGGGTCAAATAACTCTCCAAGCAAAGAAGAGGCAGGGGTGGGATCTGACCTCCGAGCCCCCGACGCCCTTTGCACCATCTCGGCCCTGTGGTGCAGTGGACCCTGGCTGCAACGACCTCAGGGAGCTCAGCGTCCCCACCAAGAATCTGTGCTCTGGGACTCCTCCAAGGCCGAGGGGCCAAGTGCTCCCATAGGGGTCCTTCTCCTTCTCCTTTAACTGCCCGACTCGGCTTCCTCAGCTGCCCAGCATGGGAGGAGGGTGGTCCGAGGCCCCGCAGGCCTGGCGGAGCCTCTGCTGGGACCCCATACAGCCCGTCACCCCAGGTCCCCAAGTGAGGGCACCGAGGCTCAGAGACATGGGGACTCGAACCCGGGACAGACTGGCTCCTCGGGCGAGGCCCCTCCCACTCTGCCTGTTCCCACCGGCCACTGAAGCAGCGGTTAAGGGCGTCCCGGGGGTCCGCCACGGCCTGTTTCCTGACAGGGCCAGGGGTGTTGCTCAGGAACCTGCAGGTCCGGCAGGAAGTAATCTGCTTGGTCACCAAGGCAACCGAGCAGAGTGGAGACCCAAGGCCCCCAGACCACAGTGTGTGCCACGCCCAAGGACTAGTGTCCCCCGATGCGAGGACTGTGCCTGCCTTGGCCTCAGCCTTTTCCTGGATGAGCCCCACAACCCGGCGAGGGGGGGTGGCCCCAGAGCCTGGGGCTGGGGTACGGGCACCCTTCATCTCAGAGGACAGCGGCCAGACGGAGCGGCATGGGGGCCCGTGTGTGTATGTGTGTGTGTGCACGAGTGCGGGCACGCGTTTACATGGGCCTGAATCATGACTACAGGGCGGGTGGCGACTGAGAACTTTTGACTCTGCAGCTCCTGCTTTCTTGATATGGAGCCTGGCCTGGGGAGCACTTGACCTGTTACCAGCCTGGAGGAGGGGCTACCCCCCTCCCCGCTGAGCCCCAGGCTTTCCCTGACGAGGGACCTGCTGGTGGGTGGGGATGGAGCCACGGGGGTGGGGGTGAGGCACTCAGGAGTCCCCACCCACACCCCAGCATCACCAGGTCGCCCTCAGCAGCACAGCATCTGCCGGGGCTGTTTTCTGGCCAGAAGGTCAGGTCTTCTCCGCCTCCAGTCTGGACTTTAAGACAACACAACCCAGTTCAACTCTGCGGGGCTTCCTGCCTGCACCCTGGACTCCGTGGGCCCCTGCTCCAGGGGGTTGCGGACTCTCAACCACTGCGCCACCAGGGAAGCCCTGACAATTTGCTTTTTGATTGTAAAGTAAGTGCCTGACATTAGGCTTTGGATGGGTGAGGCACCGGCTTCAAAGACATGCACCTCGAAAGCCATACAACTATAGGTCAAGAGCCCAGCTGCCTCATCCCTGAAGGCTCCCGTTCAGAAAGTCCTGGGTGACCAGATAATGGACCTTGGAGTGACCCCACTTCTCCCTTTCACGGTTTAATTCCACTGTTATGTTTTAAATTCACCAGTAACGAATCAACCCCCCAAACCCTAGGCACCCCATCCTCAGCCCCAGTAAAGACAGAGCCCTGGGTCTCCTCTCTCTCTCTCTTTCTCTCCCCCCCCCCCCCCCCCCCCCCCGCAGTGCAGGTAGTAGGACGCAGGTGAACACCCCAGGCATCCTAGCCCAGAGCATCACTATTGACAGGTTGAGATCCACCCAAGACAGTGGCGCCAGGACACTGATGTCCAGGAGGGGCAACTGGGACCGTGAGAGGTCAGGACCCTTGGCCCCTGGGGAGATGTTGGCAGACAGGAAATGGTCCAAAGGGACAGGGCGGCACTACATGGCCCCGCCCAGGTCCAGCGTCTGCCTCGGTTTCCTCACCTGTAAAATGGGACTATAACATGCAGATGTTTCTGCTCTGATGGTGTCCTGAGCAGAGGCAGGAGGCCTGGGCTGGGCAGGCAGATTCCTCAGGTCCACCCTGAGGGGCTCCTCAGAAGCAAGGATGTCACAGGGAGCTCACTGCCCCCCAGACCCCCACCTGACCCAGTTGCGACTGCCCGAGCAGGTGCCTTCTCCTCGCCCCATGCGGGCCAGCGGGCCCTGGGCCAGCCCAGCATCCGAGACAGACACTGACGTAGGACGTAGGGACCCTTCCTCATCCCCCACCCCCTTGACCCTGGCTCATTCCCACGACCGGAGCCCCCATGGTCTCCACTGTTCACCAGATGCCTTGGACAGGTGTGTGTTGGGGTGAGGGCTCCGATGTGGAAGGGGGCTTTAGGGAGAGGGGCCCAGACTCTGAGCCCCCCCTGCCTCCAGAGTTCCCAGCTCTGTCTCCCTCCTGCACCCTGGCCCTGGCCTGGTGTGGTGCCCCAAGGCCACTGTGCTGGGCTGTGGGGGCCAGCGGCCATCCAGTGAGCCACCATCCAGGGAGCCCCCATGTGGGGAGCTGCAAGCGGCAGACCCAGGTGCTTCCCTCACGCACTTAGCCAAGGTCCCACAACAAGTCCCCGTCTGAGGGAGCTGCACAGCAAGGCTGTGGGCAGGACGGAGCAGCCCCGGGTCCGGCAGAGGCTGTCCCAAGGAGGTGACCACAGGGGGCGCTGGGGACGGCAGGCGTTGCTGGGCCTCCCCGGGGCCAGGGGTCCTTATACACCCTCTTGTGTCCCTCCTGCCCCCCACCTCCTGGCCCACCAGTGCCTGGCAGTGGGCGGCCAGGGAGAGAGACAGGAGTGTGGCCACCACCCGGTTATCAAAATCCTCCTCCAGCGTGGCAGGGCCTGAGACACCGCAGGGCTGGCGGCTGTCAGGGCCTCAGGTGTCCCTGCATCCCCCATCCAGCCTCCCTCCTCTGGAAACAGCAGCTCAAGCTTCCTTCGGGGTGCTCTTCCCCGTAAGTCAGTGCCTGTGGTGGGCAGAGCCCACACCACTCCACTCCATCCTGATGCTGTTTCAGGGGACCCAGGCCATCAGAGGCACAGGGATGGCTCAGCGATAGGCATTCAGAGGTAGGCCTGCTGGACTCTGGGAAAGAGGGGTCCTTCCCCACAGGGAGGGGGATGATGATGGAGCCTTTACCATGAGAGGAGACGCTGCCTAAGAACAAAGCCACCACGGGGGAAGCAGAGCAAGAGACAGAGAGGCAGCTGTTTGAACACCTGGATCCAGCCATGCCTGAATTCACTCATACACCTAGATCCAGCCATGCCTGAAAGGCTTCCTACACCTGGATCCAGCCATGCCTGAAGGCCTTCGTACACCTGGAGCGACAGTTACATGAGCTGATACATCTTCCACTTTGCCATCTGAAATGTGCTGACAAACACAGAGAGGAAGCCGTACACCTGAGAGCCTGTTTCCTGGTTCTGCAGGCTCCCAGGACAGGACAGTCCACATTTACTGCCCCTACCCCGAGTCCTCCGCAGAGGGCAGCCCACTCACCATGACAGAAGTGGTCATGCCCTGCAGGTGGAAGACATCCATGCTGGCCTCCGCACCACCCACCACCTCATCATTCCCCTGGCCCGACTGGGGAAGGTCAAAGTAGGTGCTGTCCGGCTCCCTAAACAGAGGAGGGAAACAGAACAGGGAGCACAGCCATCAGCCCAGATGGCCCAGGCCTGGGGCTCAGGGCCAGCCCACAGCTCCCGGAGGGCCTCCCTCTCCCACCTCCACGGATTCCTTCAGTCCCTTGTCTCCTCCGCTCCTTCCCTGACCCTCAGCCCCTGCGGCCTCCGGCCCCCTTACCCTACCAGCCTCTCCAGGGCTGGTGTGAGTGCCAGGCTGGAGTGGCCACACACAGGCTTTGTCCCCTGGACCCAACCCCTCTGGAGGGCTGGTCAGAGGAAGAAGCCCAGACATTGGACCCTGCGTCCCCAGGAGAAAGCCCAAGGCAGCAGCTCCCTGTCCAGCCCCCGAGTCCATCGCAGCCCCCGAGTCCAGCGGGCTCAGAGGAGGTACTCACAGAGAGCTCCAGAGGTGCTGGAACGTGGCCCCCTCGTCGGTGGCGGTAGACTGCGACATCTTCCCACTCCCGGCCGAGGGCAGCTTGCTCTGCCAGGAGGAAAGGACAAGAGTGTGGGTTGGGAGGGCATCCTCGGGCGCAGGTGGCAGGCGGGGCCGACAATGACCACTCGAGGACTCCCTGGCGTGCTAACCAGGCGCACGCCCTTCACCCAGCCCCTCCCTTCATCCTGCCCTTTCTGGAGGCGGGAACCGAGGTCTGGGGGTGGGCAGCCTGGCTTCAGACCCGGCTGGGGGCCTGGGCAGCAGGAGCTTCTCAAAGCCGCCACCCGTGAAATGGGGGTGACAGCAGCATCCCCTCATGGGGCTGCTGCAGGGCCCCTTGGGAGCACGAATTTCAAGTCTCTACTAGATAAGTCAGAAAGAGAAAGACAAATACCATATGAAATCACTTACATGTGGACTCTAAAAAAAAATGACACAAATGAACTTATATACGAAACCAAAACAAACTCACGTAGAGAACGGACTTGTGGTTGCCAAGGGGGAGGGGGCTGGGGGAGGGATGGAGTGGGAGTTTAGAGTTAGCAGCTACAAACTAGTATGTATAGAACAGGTGAACAACAAGGTCCTACTGTAGAGCACAGGGAATTATATTCAATATCCTGTGATAAACTGTAATGGAAAAGAAGATGAAAAAGAAGGCGTATATGCGTATAACTGAGTCACTCTGCTGCACAGCAGAAATGAACACTACTTTGCAGATCAACTCTACTTCAATAAAAAATAAATTAAAAGTAAAAACAAAACAAAAAAATAAAGTCTCTGCTGTGCCTGGGCCATAATTACACTGGAACACGCGTGGTCATTATTATTATGAACTGCATCTCTAGGTTTGGCCTGGGGGCTGGCTCAAGCCAGGTTTGGGGGCTCCCGAGGCCCCAGCAGCTGGCGACAGCTTAGATCCCGGGTGCCCCCTGGGAAGGGCATGTGCAGGGCCCACCGGAGGCTGGAGCCGAGGCCCTGGTACGAGCCTGGCTGTGCCCGATTGCTGCAGGCTGGGCGGCCTTTCACCTCTGATGTGGGATCCTTGCGTACGGCCTGGACACAAAAGCAGTGTCAACCCCACGAGGCAGCCGCCAAGGCCGAGGCCGAGAAGCTTCTCTGTCACTGGAGGGGGTCACTGCACGAGTGGCCCCCCTTCAAGGAGATGCCCAGGGCTTGGGGCGCCCTGACTCAGTGCCTGCTGGCCTTTGTCCCCACTGTCACCCCTCCTGAGGGCCTCCATGCCCACCCGAAACAGCCACCCAGGAGGAGGTGGCGGTGACCACACCGGGCACATCTTGAACCCTTATCCTACGGTAGGGGGGAGGGGCAGGGAAACCAGAGCCCACCCTGCCCACTGCCCCCACCCAGGCCAAGGTGATGTCTCCCCTGGGCCAGCCTCCAGGCTCTTGGCAAGGGGCCACAGGAATCAGCTTGGCCACCGCCTGGCAGGGCCCAAGCGGGCAGGCCCGGACCTGCCCACGGCCGTCGGGGGAGGGAGGGTGCGGCCTGCAACCTGTCACTTTGTCTGTCCCCAGGCGGTGGGCCCTGAGAGAGGCCGGTGGCCTGCTCCCGGGGCTGCCACGTGCCAGGCCACCGTCCCTGGAGCAGCGGCACGAGCTGGGAGGGGCCGGGCAGGGCCGAGCGAGGATGGCCGGGACAAAGAGCTTGGAAAGTGCTGGCCACAAACCAACTCTCCAGCAGGCTCGGAGACCACTCCACCCACTCTCAGGAGACCAGGGCTCAGAGAGGTTATGTGACATGCCGAGGTCACACAGCATAGCTGTAAGTGCAGGGACAACCAAGTGGTTTTCTCAGAATTGGAAATTAACGTAGTCATGCCTCCTCCCCCCTTCACCTCAAACCCTCAGCACACAATCCACAGGATTTTAACAAGGGGCTGGTCAGCGCTCACTTGCATGCCTCCTGTGCTGGGGAGATCACTCCTATCCTGGGCTGAGCTATCCAAAACCCAGCAGGGCTGAGTAAGGCGTGGAGCTGGCCATGTGGTAACGCAGAACAGGGTGGACTTGGTAGGAAGCAGAACATGCCGGCCGGAGCAGGTCACTGCGCCGAAGCTGGGCAGAAACACACCCTCACCCACTCTCCATGGCTGGTCCTTTTTGGATGAGCAGAGATTAGTCAGAGTGGCCTCTTGGTGTGGGCAGGGTGTACCAACACGAGGCTCAACTGGCCCAGGCCATTTGGTCCCACCCCCTTCATTTTGCTAATGGACCATCTAAGCCCAGAGACAGACAACGCCTTGACTAACATCACACAGCAAGTGGACGGCAAGATCCTGTCCCTGGTCACGGCAGCACCATTCACAACAGTGGAAAGGTGGAAACGGCCCAAAGGTGCATCAACGGATGAACAAATAAACAAATCCTGGTCGGTCCACACGCTGGAATATTACTCCATCATAAAAAGGAATGATCACTCACACCGGCTACGTCACTATGAACCTCAGAACATCATGCTGAGTGAAAGAGGCCACGTGCTATACGAGTCCATTTACGAGACGTCCGGAACAGGTGAGTCCACAGAGGCGAAAGGCAGACTGGCGGTTGCAGGGGCTGGGGGCGGGGCATGGGGGGAGACTGCTGGAGTAAGACAGGGGCGATGGTTGCACAATGCCGTGAATGAGCTAAACGCCACTGGAGGGTTTGCTGTAAAGGGGTTAGCTTTATGTTGTGTGAATTTCACCTCAATAAAGCTGCATGGAAGTTAAAGACAGTTTCTCCGAAAGCCCAGCCCCAGTTCTCAGCAGCCCCTGCTGCCCAATATCTGGGGAGGCAAGTCAGCACTGGGAATCTCCCCAAGGCCCCCTCCCTTCCCTGGCTCCCACGCCTCCCTCCCCACAGAACAGCCGGGAGGGGGGACAGAGGCCCCCACTCTGGGGGACACATCCAGCATTTTCACCCCACCCCCTGCTTCACCCCAAGCTGCCGGGGTCAGAGGCGCCTGCACCACACAGGCCGGCTCTGGCTCGGTGACAGACCTGCAGGTGCCCGGCCCTCTGGGGAAGCGGTGGGCGGGGGGGCGTCCTACACCCACCCCACCAGCCCTTACCACCAGGACTGAAGACGGAGACTGCTCAGCCTTACTGATGCCAGGGGTGGTCCCGGGTCACCAAACTCCACTGCTCTGCCCTCAGTACACCCTCAGACCCAGGACTCTGTGTCTGCTTTTAGCCAACACCCCGGAGACTCACAGTGACTCTAGGACAGACCTCCCCCCCGCCGCGGGGTGGGGAGAGCATCACACAGGTTCACCTCACCCACTGAGGGGCCCCTTTGGCTGTGTCCACCCGAGGACGGCACCAGCCTCTGACGGTGACTCCCACACAGGTTCTCCATCGGCAAAACGGGTCCAGAAACCTGCCCTGCCCAGAGGGCCTGGGGGACTTGACCCAGGAAGCCATGCAGCGCCCATACCTCCAACTTCCCTGGAAAACTCTGCAGAGCAGGCTGCATTGGGCTATGCGTGACAGAGCCGCAGACCTGGTCCCTGCAGGCGCCAGGGAGCACCCGCCTGGGCCAGAGCTGGGCGTAAGGAAGCAGCACAACCGATGTCCGGCCTCAGGCTGCCCCCTGCAACTGGAACCTCCCCCAGAGCTCCATGGGCCCAGCCCTCTCTCCCCTAGGGCAGGGACAGTATATTCCCTTTACCCACTAGCAGCATTTCGGCCAAGGTGGCCAAGGTTTGCAGAGGTGAGAAAAAGAAAGCAATTCTAAAATCACTTCCTGCAAATTAAAGCCAGTTTCCCCGACATGCACTTCAAATTTGGAAATGTGCTCACAGTGGAAACCGCTTTTGCAAACAACGCGAATCATTTAAAAAATTGCGTGTATGAGGGGAGAGGCTGACTTCCGATGGCACCTCTTCAGGCGGCATTAATGATGCCACGAAGCGCACATGCACGGTGGACAGCTTTGCTTTTCCATGAAGTTGCTCTGGGAAAAAAAAAATGCATCCTGTTGCACCGAGAGGGGTCCAGTCCTGGTCAGGGCCGGTCTCCAAGGGGGACGTGGGCGTGAGAAGGTGGGGTACGGTGCTGGTGGGGGCTGGACTCAAGGAATCCCTGAGCCCCAGCCCACAGGGAACTGCCGAGTCAGAGGCAGCCTGAGAAGGGCAACGTGTGGCCCCTTCTCACAGCAGCTGGGCCGGGGCTCAGGCACCTCCGACCTGCCCCAGCTCCCCGTGGGCTGGGGCCACCAAAACCAGTTCACCTCAAGGAATTTCCAGCAAAAATTTTTGACCCTGGAGAGGCGGGGCAGGGGCTGTGTGGCCCACACACTCAACTCAAGCTGGAGTGGAGACACAGCCCCACACCCCACTGACTTTGGGTGGCTCGGGGATGCCCCGAGGTCTCTGAGAGCCCCCCAGGGAGGGGATGCAGTCCCACATCCTGCAGTGCACCACGGCAGAGAAGGTTCCAGCCCAGAGGTCCGGTGCCGCCGGGGAGAAGCGGGCCAGCTGCTGCCAGGGCCCCAGGCCCTCACACTGCCCTGTCGGGCAGGAACCGCCACCCCGGGGCAGGCGCTCAGAGGCCCAAGCTACCGAGGGTCCCGGCTGGGACTCGAGCCGCAGCCCAGACAGCTGGAGACCTTGCCCCACAAGCGAGCGCAGACCTTCTGCCCCAGGCTGGTGGGAGCTGGAGGCCCCAGGGGGCAGCAGCTGTTCCTTGGCCGGCTCTGCTCGACCCTCTGACCTCGTCCTCCACAAATCCCGGCGAGAGCTACAGCCTGCCGTGGGCTCCTGGCCCTGTTCCCACAGGCCCCCTTCTGCCCCCGGCCCTGTCCCCATGCACCCCAGCCAGGGCGGCCTCCACGCTCAGCTTTGGTCCACCGTCCACTCCCCACCCCATCCTTGTCCTGCCAGGCCAGGCTTCCTCCAGGAAGCCACTGTCCTCCCCGACTCCAGGTCAGGATGCCCCTTATCCTGCCCCTGCCATCACCTGGCAGGTGGCAGAGCACAGACAGCCCTTCAGCTATGTGGCCCCCACGGGGCCTCATTGGTTGGGCAGGATTTTGAGGCCTCTGGTTTCCCTGTCCCCTGGGCCCACCCCTGCCCAGGGCCCCAAAACCAGCTTCCGTAAACTGGGGTCCTTGTGACCCTCCCAGAAGGGACACCCCATCCATAGAGGGGGGCCCCCACCCACCTGCAAGAGCCCTGGTCCAGAGTGTGGACGCTTGGCCTGCGTGCAGAGGACAGCTTGGGGCACACGCCCCTCCTCCATGGCCATCTGGATGCCAGCTTTGGGGGAGGGCGTGCGGCCCCATTCAGTTTAGTGGGGAAAGACCCAAAGAACTCCACTCTGCCACCCACCCCGAAACAATCCATCTTGATGGTCCTCAGTCACATGCTGGTTATTCCGGTGGGTCCGTCCCCGGTTATTTCAGTAAACAATGGCGGATTGAAATCTAAGGGGCAGATAAACCTACACCATCTCAGGAGGGACCCTTCCCATACCCTGTGGCCTTGTCTTGAGGCGACAGCAGAACGTCCCAGCGTCCAGAAGTCCCCCTACCTGGGCAGAGGGGTCAGGCGGCCATCACACAGGGTCACAGGAGGCCCTGCTGTGACATGGCGCTGTTCCCGGGCGGCGGCCCAGCCGAATTCCAGCAGGACACCCGGTGCCCAGCCTCCTGGGCCCTTGGAGCTGAGGGGCCTCTGTGACCTCAGCCAACCCCGGGAACGGGAGGCCCTCGCCCGGTGGGGCCGGGGCAGGAGACCCCCTGGAACGGTGGCCAGGAGCGTGTCACCCTCAGGGAGCAAAGGGCAGTGGCATCTTCACCTGCCCCTCCCGCCCGCGCCCGGCCACGTGGCCACGGAAGCCTGCGCAGCCTCTGTCCTCGCTGGCCCTGCAGGGGCTGGGGTGGGGTTAGGACAGGACCCTCGGCCAGGGCGGCACCTGGGCCTCCTGCGGAGAGACTGGGCCTGCGGGGCCTGGGAGGAGGGCATGGCCGAGGCCAACGTCACCCCAGGGGGGGGCTCCCTGCTCCCCCTCTGCCCGCTCAGGGGAAGCCCCGCACTGATGGTGAGAGACAAATTTAGCCTCCCCACCCTGGGGCAGGGTGCGCTTGTGAAATACGAAAACAGCTGGAGGTGCCCGATTAAGCCGCCCTCTCTTCCTCCTGGGCTGGGGCCCGTGGGGAGGCGGGGGACGCAGAGCCTGGGAGTGGCCCCAGGAATCCCCCAGCCCTGCTGCCTCTTACCTCGGTCCCGGTCCCGCAGCCAGGCCAGGGGCAGGGATGGCCTCCCTCCGGCACCTGGGCCCGGCCTGGAGCAGTGGGGTTGCCCGGCAGTTTGTTTGAATCTGACGGTTGGTCTAGCACCCACGTGAGGCAGGGAGCTGGGTGGCGGCCCTCTAACCACGTGGGCCTCACGTACTTCTGGAAGGAAATGGCTGACCAAATCCCCCAGGGCTTCCAGGCTCCGGGGTCACCCAGGCCTTTGCTGGGAGGGGCTCTCGGCCGAGCTAAGGGTTGGGGACCCAGTGGCACATGCCCCCACCCCCCCACGCCCTACTACTGCCACGCCCAGCTTCCTGGTGGAGGAACTCACGCGGCCAAACCAAACAAAGAAACGCTGGAGCACGGCTGAGCCGCACCATGTCCCAGCAGGGCAGTGCACCGTGCAGCTCATTTCACTGACCGACGTGGAGACGTGCACAGAGAGGTTAGGTCACCCACCCAAGGGCACACAGCTGGTCAGAGCAGGGAGTCCAACCCGCCAGCTAGCTCCAACGTCCTTGTTCTTGACCTTGCCCTCCACCTGGCCTCTCTAGGAGGTGAGCAAAGGAGGCCCAGCCCCTCTCCGGCCTGCGTTCTCACCACACCCCGCTGGGAAGTCCCCGTCCACCCCTGCTTCTTCACCCACACAGTGAGGCCCCACCCACATCCGGTCCCCGCCCCCCCATCCTCTGCTGACCTGCCCATGGCTTTCCTCCCATCCCGGCCTCCACCCCCAACAAGCGCAGGTCAGACCTGGACACAGGGTTCCTGTCCCTTGGTTTTCTGCTCTGCAGCTCCGCCCTGCCTGCCACACTCCCGGCCACCCCCCCTCCCCCTCCACCCACATAGCCCACCTCTGCACCTCTGCCACTCTACTCTGTAGCTGTGTGACCCCTGGACCGGTGTCTTGCCCATTCTGAGCCTGTTTCCTGTGATGTGTGGAAAAAGCCAAGGCACTCAGCAGGGTGCTGATACAGGCACAGACTAGGAGCTCGAGAGACGGGAGTGAGTTGCAGTTGACCAGTGGTTACTGAGGCTCAGGGTAGCAGCGGAGGAAGAAGAATAAACCTGCCCTGGTCCCGGGGCAGCAGAGGGCAGAGGCCAGGTCTGTCCCTGGTTCAGTTGCAGGGACCTCCCCATCAGTGGTCTGTCTAAGACCGAGGCACCTGCAGAAGGATGAGTGGGACCCAGCACTCCATGGCAGCAGAAACCCAGGGGTAAGAGACAACCCACCCGCTAGAGGCAAAATAATGGATTCCTACTGGGGCCGGTAGCTGGCACAGTGCCCCTGAGCTTGGAGATGCCGCGATCCCACCTGCGTCACCATGTGGGGAGGCTTCCACGGCAGCACCCAGCCACCTGTTGGGGGGGCCTGACTGGAGGAGTGAGAGCAGAAGTGAGGGTGTCGGTGAGGGAGGTTCAGACCAGCATGGGGCACAGGAAGGGGACCCAGGAGGTGGGCAGCTGCAGGGCTGGCAGCCTCATGAGGCTGGAGAGGAAGAGACGCTTGACGGTAGAGCAGGTGTCTGAGCTTTCAGCCATGGCGCGTTCCAAGTGAGAGCCAAGGGTGGCCAGGATTGGACAGAGGAGTGGCTGGGCACATCCTGGACTTCTCCGTCTCACTGCCCACCTCCAACCCCGACTCCACAGGGATCTAGAATCCGGCACTCCCACCCACAAGGCCACCCTAGTCCCAGATCCCCTCAGCCCCCCACCCCCACCCCCGTAAGTGCAGCAGCCTCTCAGCCAGGCTCCCCGCTTCTGCTTCAGCGGATGGACCAACAGTGGCCAGATGTAGGTGAGGTCATACGCCCCACCCCTGTACCCCCCCACCCGGTGGAAGAAGTCAACTACGCGATGACAGACTGTAGGTATGACATAAGGTGTCATAACTCTGAGAACCGGCCTCAGGGAACTCCCTGGCGGTCCAGTGGTTAAGACTCCGCGATTCCACTGCAGGGGGCACAGGTTCGATCCCTGTTTGGGAAGCTAAGATCCCGCATGCCGCGCAGTGCGGCCAAGACAAAAACACAAACAAACAGAACTGGCCTCAAAGAAATGGGAACGAACTGACCCCGGAACTAAAGACTAACTGTACTTGAAACAATCAGGATGACGCTGGTCAGACGACCCACGACCAGTTCCAAGGTGACCGTCAGAGCTGGCTGTGCTGTTCTGCATGGAGCCCCTCCCTCCGTCTACAAAAGCTCTCACCCCCTGGTTGTCAGCTGGGGGCGGTGGGTGGGAGTCAGCCCTTGGGGGATTCGGAGGGCATGGAGCCCTTGCTCCGAAATAAAGCAACCTCTCCTTTCCATCAGCCTGGCCCCTTTTTGGCTTTTGAGCGGCGAGCAGCCGGACCCCACTTTCGGTAACACTCTCACCCACCCGGCTGCCAGGCACCCCTGCTGTTTCCGTCCGTCTCCTCCAAGGCTCCCCTCCTCCCCTCTTGAGGGTCCCACCTCTACATGCCAGTGCGCCATGCTCTGTCCTCCAGAATCTTCTCTTCCCCGGACAAGCATCTGTGCTCCTTCAACCATGCCCTACACGGTCATTCCCAAACCATTGGCCCCGCCTGGCCACCCTTCTCCAGACTCCTCCACATTCCTTGAAGGGAGCCCACTCAGCTGTGTCCCCGCCCTGTGTAGACTCCTTGCCTCCTACCCTGGGGTTCTCACTATGGGCCCAGGACGCACTAATTTCCTGAACTCTCTACCCATCCCCACTCAGCTCCCCGCCCCCGCCCCAGCCATCGGGCCGTGATTTTTCCAGAGCTCCATCTGACTCATGAATTCCGCTCCTCTCTGGTTCTGAAGTCAGCTGACCTCTGACGTGACTTCAGCCAAGTTGCCACGGCATTGGTCCATCCATCGCTCACTCACTCCAGGAACATCTGTCCCAGAGAGCCACCTCTGTGCCGCCTGCCTCCCTATCTCCCACGTGGCCCCATCCTATCCCCTGGGCCTGGGACTCTTTCCGATAACGACACCCAGCATCTACCATGTGCTCACGCAGTGCCAACCCCAGCGCGGAGTCCTCTGTATTCCTTGATTTCAGTCTTCAAAGTAACCCCAAGACAAAGGCACTGCTGCGTCCCACGTTCCAGATGTTCTTACAGAAGCGCAGAGAGAGGGGACCGCTTGCCCAGGGCCACTCAGCTCAGAAGTGCCAAGGCTGGATTTGAGCCCAACTCTGGTTAGGATCCACTTAACCCCTTCCCACCAGGCAGCCCCACCCTCTGGGGGCCTCTCTTGGGAGGCAGAGAAGAGAACCAGCCTTTCCCCCCACAGTGTGAAGGGCACCCTGAGGGGTGTGGACAGGCCCAGGGTCAGCCCAAGGGTAAATGAAGGTCCATATGAGTTGTCATTTTCGGTTTCACAAGCTGGCGGAGAAGGGGCACCAATGCGGCAGAGCTCAGCCAAGGATAGGCCCTGACGGCCCTTCAGGGCAGGGGGAGGCAGGAATAGCCAGGTGGGCTGGAGAGGGGACAGGATGCCCAGAGGCCTTGGCCACAGGAAGGGGGCTGGACCTGCAGCTGTGGGCCTCGGGGAGCGAAGAGGGGGGTTCGGCTCCCAGAGGGATGCAGTGGGATTTGGGTGAGGAAGGTCACCCGGGGGGCACATCGTGGGCTTGGCGAACCCAGAGGCTGGTGGTCAGCGAGGCAGGCCTCGGCTGGGTCCCGGTGAGGCGGTGGGGGGCATGGGCCGCAGGGATGCAAGAGGGGGCAGGAAGGGATGAGGACCCCCCTTCCAAGCCGATCCACGTCGGGTTAATGCACTTTTGAGCTCAGCCCTCAACCAGCTGCAGATTCAGGCGCCTTCAGCCACCCACCAGCTGTGTGCACGGTCAGGCCTCTGTCTTCTCATCCGTAGAATAGGGAAGTCACACCCACCATGCAGGGCTGACCTACACAGAAGCCTCTAGCAGGATTCCCGGGGTGTCTTGGGGTGCAAACGCGGCTCCTGTCTGACCTCTGGGGCCGTTTGGAAATCTGCTATCTGTTGTGTCAGTCAAACCCTCATCCCCCTTTCCACTCAAGCTCCAGAGGCTGCTTCCTGAGCCAGCCACTGGTGCCCAGCCCCCTGCCAGGCCAGCACCATCAACACACATGCAGGCACACACATGTACACGCATGCGCACATGTGCAGGCACACGTGTACACACCTGCACACGCACACACTCCGCCTTCATCACGGTGAATCCCCCACCCCAATCCCTCCGCTCAAGTATGTGGCCCCAGGGCTTCCCTGGTGGCCCAGTGGTTGAGAGTCCGCCTGCCAATGCAGGGTTCGGGTTCGTGCCCCGGTCCGGGAAGATCCCACGTGCCACGGAGTGGCTGGGCCTGTGAGCCATGGCCACTGAGCCTGCGCGTCCAGAGCCTGTGCTCCGCAATGGGAGAGGCCACAACAGTGAGAGGCCCGCGTACCGCAAAAAAAAAAAAAAAAAAAAAAAAGTATGTGGCCCCGGAGGCTCCCCAGGCACCCAGCCGCGTAGGTGGGCCTGCAGTGGCCGGCGGGCAGCACACGGAGCCGTCTCCTGCTGCCCAGGTCTCGGTGATGCCTGGGAGGCAGCCGGGTGAGGGCCAGGGTGGCCAGGGCGGGCTCCAGGGCCCCCGGTGGGTGAGCGAGCCAGGGAAAGCCGTTCTGGGCTGGCCCCGTGGGGCTGAGGAATGGTGGCCCCCAGCCGGGACAAGCCTGGCCATGTGGCCAGGGCAGGGCCTCTTTGGCAGGAAGTGGACAGAGTTCCGGTGGGTCCAAGGGGCGGCAGCACCAGAGTGACTTCTGTTCCACCCCCCACCCCCACCCCCGGGCCATGCAAATTGCCCCGCACCCCCCTGGGGGCAGATGGCAGTGCCACACAGCAGTGGCTTTTCCAGCTTGCCCAAGTCCCATCAGGGGACCCACAGGCATGGCCTCCCCGCTATGGCCCATCTGCCACCGCTGCCCCCAGGACACCCTGTTTCCAAGCGCTGGGTGGGAGCCAGTAGGGAGGGGCCTCTGCACCCCTGGGTGGCCCCAGGGAGCCCCAACTGGCACCTGAAAGAGGAGGGCCAGCCCGAGCCAAGCCTACCTTGGCGGAGCCTGGGCCCTGGAGGGTCTGTGAGGAGGGAGACAGCCGGGAGGCCCTCGGCTCGAGGCTGGCT